GCCTGTATTCCCAGCTACTAGGGAGGCTGAGGCAGGAGAATCACTTGGACCTGGGAGGCAGAGGTTGCAGGATCTTGGCTCACTGCAACCTCTGCCTCGTGGGTTCAAGTGATTCTCCTGCCTCAGCCTTCTGAGTAGCTGGGAATACAGGCATGCACCACCACGCCCAGCTAATTTTTTGTATTTTCAGTAGAGCCAGGTTTTCACCATATTAGCCAGGCTGGTCTCAAACTCCTGACGTCAGGTAATCCACCCACCTCAGCTTCCCAAAGTGCTGGGATTATAGGTGTAAGCCACTGTGCCCAGCTTGGGGTTGCAGTTTTAAACAAGGTGGTTAGGGAAGGCTTATCTGAGAAGGTGTTATATAAGCAAAAACTTGGATGAGACAAGGAGGAGGGAGACAGTCGTGAAGATATCTGGGGAAGAGTGTTCTAACACATCAGATGCAAAGACTTTGAGGCAAGATCTTGCCCAGTACATCTGAAAAATAGTAAGGAAGCCAGATGTTTGGGGCACAGTGAGGAAAGTGGAAAAGTAATAGATAATGTCAGAGAAGTGAGCAGACACACCAATAATGTAGAGCCCTATAGACCATTTTAAGGACTCTGGCTATTACTTTTCAATGAGAAGAGAAACTATCAGAGCATATTGAGCAGAGGAAAATCACCACATGACATATAGCTTAAAAGGATCAGTCTGATTTTTGGTTTGAGACTAAACCATTTAGGATACTATTGCAATAATCCAGGTTTGTAAGAATGAACTCACACAGACTGGTAGTGGTGGAAGAATCAGAAGGGGTTGGAGCCAGCTCCGTGGCTCACATCTGTAATCCCAGCACTTTGGGAGGCTGAGGCGGACGGATCACTTGAGCCCACAAATTTGAGACCAGCCTGGCCAACAATGGCAAAACCTCATCTCTATTAAACATACAAAAAATAGGCCTAGCAAGAAAGTCTCACAAATATGCAGTCATTGTTCATGACATTGACTAGTCCTTGTTTTCTCCTCACCCCCTACAATGTCAAATATACACATAAGCAGTCCAAAGCGGCTAATCTCCCTTGTTAACAGCTTGTAATTTGGTACAGGTTTAATTCTATTAAGTAATTGAATATAGATACTCATCTCTCCTAGCAATCCCTAGCTTGGTCAATATTTAAGACTGTTCTTTTATTGTGTGGCATTCCTTCCCTGCATGTCTCTCTCCTCCTATTCCTTTCTTCTTTTTTCTTTTTGAAACAGGGTCTCACTCTGTTGCCAAGGCTGGAATGCATGGTACAATCTCCTGGGCTCAAGTGATCCTCCCACCTCAGTCTCCCAAGTAGCTGGGACCCGCACACCCACGCCTGGCCATTTTTGTTGTTGTTGTTGAGACCCAGTTTTGCTCTTCTTGACCAGGCTGGAGTGCAATGGCACAATCTCAGCTCAGTGCAACCTCTGCCTCCGAGTTCAAGCAATCCTTCTGTCTTAGCCTCTCAAGTAGGTGGGATTACAGGCATGAGCCACCACCCGGCTAATTTTGTATTTTTAGTAGAGACAGGGATTCATCATGTTGGTCAGGCTGGTCTCAAACTCCCAACCTCAGGTGATCCACCCGACTCGGCCTCTCAAAGTGCTGGTATTACAGGCATAAGCCACCACACCTGTACATTTTTTAGAAATGGGGGTGTCACCACATTGACCAGGCTGGTCTTGAACTCCTGAGCCCAAGTGATCCTCCCACCTTGGCCTCCCAAAGTGCTGGGATTACAGGCGTGAGCCACGGTGCCTGGCCTCTGTCCTATTATTTCCTTAGCTCTCAACCCTCCCTCACCTGAACAGGGAAGACCTCCTCTATAATCATACCATCATACTCTATGTGCAGTGATTGTACAAATGTATGTTCACAAAATATGTAACAGTTTGCTCCTCCCCTGTCATTGCCTTCAAATCAGAGACCACTAAATTCCTACTTACAAGCTTAACCAGCTCTCGGGGGTGGGTATAGGGAGCCCTCATTAGCAACCTTTGCCAATTTCTATATTGTAAATACACCACGGCTAATTTAAAGCTACTGATATATCAGTGAACACAGAGTTGAGACGAGAGGCATGGTAGCACATCATTCTATAGCATTTCTACCATACAATACAATATACATAGGTATCTCAAGAACCTAGACAGTAGTAAAATGTAGTGAAATAATTAGGAAGTAAGGTGTTTTAGGTATTTGAATCTTTGTTTTTATAATGTACCAACTGTGAATCGATATAATTTAGGTTTTGGGTTTTTTTTGTTTTTTTTTTTAGTTGGGTCTGACTCTGTTGTCCAGGCTGGAGTGTAGTGGCATGATCCTGGCTCACCCGGCTCGGCCTCCCAAAGTGCTGGGATTACAGGTGTGAGCCACTGCACCTGGCCAAAATCACATAGATATTAAAGACACTGTCTAATTATTCCTGTGAGACAGATAAACAACACAATTTAGTTCTATTGTTTTTATCTTAAAAAGAAGGAAGCTGGAATCCAAGAAATACTAATGAGTTGTTGAGGAAAACAGAATGAGTGAGCCAACGGCAGAATTGGTGGGGGGAAAGATCTTGGCCATTATAAGATGGACAACAGTGAAAAAATACAGCAATTCAGTGATTTATTTGTCAAGGGACACAGGGTTGAAAACGTGTATAAATTATAAACATGGCAACTAAAATTAAAAGTTGAAAATGATAAAGGAAACTGAAACCGCCTTTGCAAAATTATGACTGAGACAGTGAAAAAGATCTAACTTAACCAACTCCATCTTGCTTCTAACCTCCAAGCTGTGTTTGTTCATTCCTGGGCATAGGCTGAACTAACTTTGGGAGAAAGTTAGTTGATAGTTTATTGTTTAAAAAAGAGTGTAACAGCCCTTTCCCAAAGCAAACCTCCTTCTTGCCTGGGGACTAGATTGCCTTTGTAGGACTAACATTAGCCCCAAGATTAGAAATTATGGTTTAGGAGTCATGTTGCTGGAGGCTACAAGATGCTGACCATTCCTAGATTGCTCCTAAGATCCGTGCTTGAGGTATTTTGCAGACCCAGTACTTGATGGATCAGCTGGCACCACCCAGATAAATAACCTGGCTCATCTGATCTTGTGGCCCCCCACCCAGAAACCGACTCAGCTTGGACTCCCTGTGATTTCATCCCTGACCAATCAGCCCTCCTGGCTCACTGGCTTTTCCCCACTCACCAAGTTATCCTTAAAAACTCTGCTCCCCAAATGTTCAGGGAGACTGATTTGAGTAATAATATAACTCTGGTTTCCTGCATAACCGTCTCTGCATGAATTACTCTTTCTCTTACAATTCTCCTATCTTGATGAATTGGCTCTGTCTAGGTAGCAGGCAAGGGGAATCCCTTGAGAGGTTACAAGAATATGAAAAAATCATCTTTAGTCCCCAGTTTCCCTCAAATGTCTCCACATAACTGACTTTAAATGTTTCCAAAACTGCAATGTTTTCCTTTTCCTTAGATATATTCATTCGCCACCTCCCATCCTCCCTCACTGGCTTTCTGTTTCAAAGCTTTAATCTTTCTTACTTAAAATTTTTTCACGAAGTTGTTTTCTTTAACTCCTAAAACCTCATACCTAGCAGAATCACTAGGTTTGAGCGTTAGTTTTATTTCCCTAGAAATATTTATGAATTTTATTTCCTTAGACATATTTATGGATATGTGGAATTCCTGGACCAATGGGCAGAGGTTTATGAAGACTCAACAATGCATGATAGAACCTGTATAGATAGAACCCTTGCTTGTTCAGTATGATAAGTTAAAGTATTTACTAAGTTCCTAAGTGAAAACTGATGTATTATTATTGTTTTAGTTTGCATTTCTTTGGTTTCTAATGAAACTGAACATTTTTCCTGTATGTTTTTACATTAATATTATGTCACTTCCAGCAATTCTCCTGCCTCAGTGTCCCAAGTAGCTAGGACCACCACAGCTGACTAATTATTGCTTCTAAATATATTTATTTAAATATCATGCTACAGAGGCTTATTACATATTCAATGCTATTTTCTTCTGATTTTTCCATTGTTCAATATTTATACCTTCTCTTTAATTCATCTGGAATTTATTTTGATATATAATATCAAAGAATAATCTAAACTATAGTTTTCCAAATGTATAAGCATTTCAGAATGGCCCCTCCTTTCTTTATTATATGACACATTAAGTTCATACATAATGGAACTATTTCTGTACTTTGCACTTTTTAAACTTGTATTTATCTGGGTTTTTTTTGTTTGTTTTGTTTTTGAGACAGAGTCTCACTCTGTCACCCAAGCTAGAGTGCAATGGCATGATCTTGGCTCGCTGCAACCTCTGCCTCCTGGGTTCAAGCAATTCTCTCATCTCAGCCTCGTGGGTAGCTGGGACTCCAGGTGCCCACCACCACGCCCAGCTAATTTATATATTTTTAGCAAAGACAGAGTTTCACCATATTGGTCAGGCTGGTCTCAAACTCCTGACCCCAGGTGATCCACCTGCCTCAGCCTCCCAAAGTGCTGGGGTTATAGGCTCAAGCCAGCCTAAACTTGTATTTCTCTGTTTTAATGGAATAGTGTTGGTATATTATTATATTCAATTGGTTTAGTTCTTGTTCATAATTATTAAGTTTTTCTCATGGCTGGGCACAGTGGCTCATGCCTGTAATTCCAGCACTTTGGTAGGCAGAGGCAGGCGGATCATGAGGTCAGAAGATCCAGACCATCCTGGCCAACATGGTGAAACCCCGTCTCTACTAAAATATAAAAAAATTAGCTGGGCGTGGCAGCGGGCCCCTGTAATCCCAGCTACCCCAGAGGCTGAAGCTGGAGAATTGCTTGAACCTGGGAGGCAGAGGTTGCAGTGAGTTAAGATCGCGCCCCTTCACTCCAGCCTTGCGACAGAGCAAGACCCCGTCTCAAAAAAAAAAGGAAGTTTTTTATCTTCTATTATTTTTATTCTTATTCTCCCAGATCAAGTTTTAGAATCATTATAGATAGTACAAAGATTTTGATAGTAACAATGGTCATTTGTTCTTTGATACAGCAATAGTTATTTCCCAATACTACTAATTATATTAACAATGAATAACTAGGTCAACAATAAGAAAAGAAGAATATAAAGTTGATTCATGCTATAGAATTCTTGTTTTTCTTTCTTTTTTTTTCCTGAGATGGAGTCCCACTCTGTCACCCAGGCTAGAGTGCAGTGGCACAATCTTGGCTCACTGCAACCTCTGCTTTCTGGGTTCAAATGATTCTCCTGTCTCAGCCTCCCAAGTAGCTGGGATTACAGGCACCAACCACCCTACCTGGCTAATTTTTTTGTATTTTTAGTAGAGATGGGGTTTCACTGTGTTGGCCAGGCTGGTCTTGAACTCCTGACCTCAGGTGATCTGCCTGCCTTGGCCTCCCAAGGTGCTGGGATTGCAGGCATGAGCCACAGCACCTGGTCCATGCTATTGAATTCTGTGGTATTGTCTGAAATACTTCCAATGTCTCAGAGTCTGATGAATAAAGGTTTTTTAAGACTTAAAAGTGACAAAAACATCTATACAAAGTTTTTCTTGGGAAGATATTTTATGAATTGGAAGAAGAAATATTTCTCTTTGAAGCAAATAAATACAAAGAATATAACACATGAAGTCATTAAAAATATATATGTACACACCCTTGAGTATATTATATATCTTGCAATAAACCTTTCATAATGCTCCTGAAACTTAAGACAAGGCATTGTGAACAACTGAACAATAGAGCCACTTGAACTTATTGTCCTGATGCATTTTTCACATACATTAATTTACCTAAGAATCACTTAGAGCCTTTTTTTTTTTTTTGAGACTGAGTCTCTGTCACCCAGGCTGGAGTGTAGTGGCACAATCTTGGCTCACTGCAACCTCTGCCTCCTAGGTTCAAGCTATTCTTCCACCTCAGCCTCCCGAGTAGCTGGGATTATAGGCATCAGCCATGATGCCCCGCTAATTTTTGTGTTTTTGTAGAGACAGGGTTTCACCATGTTGGCCAGGCTGGTTTTGAATTCCTGACCTCAGGTAATTTGCCCGACTTGGCCTCCCAAAGTGCTGGGATTACAGGTGTCAGCCACCATGCCTGGCCTAGAGCCTCTTAAAAGTTAAAAACATTTTTTTTCTTTCTCCAATTTATTTTTTCTTCAAAAATGATCAAATTCTTAGAGAACATATAGAAATTGAGAGTTTCTGTAGTCTATGGCAAATATTTTTTGGTACTTAAAAAAGTGAAAATAGACTGGGCACAGTGACTCACACCTGTAATCCCAGTGATTTGGGAGGCCAAGGTGAGAGGATTGCTTGAGATAAGGAGTTTGAAAGCAGTCTGGGTAACATAGGCAGCTCCCATCTCTAACAACCGAGGCTGAGGCAGGAGAATTGCTTCAGCCTGGGAGGCGGAGGTTGCAGTGAGCCGAGATTGCACCACTGCACTCCAGCCTGGTGCCTGGAGACAGAGTAAGACTGTCTCAAAAAAAGAAAAAAAAATTTGAAGGATGATTGCCATAAAAAAGAAAAAGAAAGAAAGAAAAAATAAGTACAAAAAATTGTTGGGTGTTGTGGCGGGTGCCTGTAATCCCAGCTACTCAGGAGGCTGAAGCAGGAGAATCGCTTGAACCTGGGAGGGTGAGGTTGCAGTGACTTGAAACCACACCATTACACTCCAGCAGCCTGGGTGATAGAGGGAAACTCCGTCTCAAAAAAAAAAAAAAGATTACTAAGCCTTCACACTTTTAGATGGGGCTCTACAGGGCTTCATTACCATTTTCTCTTTAAAAGGTCAGCAGAAATGTTCAATTAGAAGTATTTTCCTAAAATTCTAAGGCAATGATTTACACTCTCATCCACAGTTGTTCCTAACAATGTCTTTACTCCTAACAAGTTTCCTTATCATGGGATAGAGGTGTTAGCTCTCCAAAACTAACCAGGAAACAGGACAGTAAAAACAGACCTGTTGTTTATAAATGAAAAGCATAAAGGCTGAGTGGGAACTCACAGAGAACAGCTTCATGCTCCCTACATCTCTTTTACAAAATATCAAAGACATTTCATTATAGTAATGGTTTCTGTTATAATTGGCTCCCATTTCAAAAGAAGCTTACCACGTTGGAAAATAATGTCAAGAGTATCCAAAAGTTATTCATTTATATGTTCTTGTTTGTAATTTATAAAGTCTTTTAAGATATTATTTCATTTTATCATCTTGCTTTTATAACCAGTACTGTGGTTTGAGTATTTGTCCCATTCAAAACTCATGTTGAAGGCCAGGGGAGATGGCTCATGTCTGTAATCCCAGCACTTTGGGAGGCCGAGGCTGGTGGATCACAAGGTCAGAAATTTGAGACCAGTCTGACCAACAAGGTGAAACCCTATCTCTATTATATTGCGCCATTCTCGGTCATCATCCTAATCTCCCTGATTCCTGCAACCATCCTCCGAAAGGGACCCTCCTTGGCACCCACCTACTATCGATGGGTCATCACTGAGGGCTCTACTGGAGCATATGTTAGTTCCTTAACCGGAAAGGGATCCACCCTAGTCAACCTAACCCTGGAGTACTCTCCGGAGACCCCCATTACCTTCTCCCTGGACCTCTGTGCCCTCCTGGGCCCCCACTTAAATTTCAGGACAAGTGGAAGTATAGCTGGGTGTGGCAGTTTAGGGGCAGAGCGACAACTCCAGACCATGGGGTTATATCTGTGCCCAGGATCCACGCCACAAAAAAAAGATGAAACTGTGGAGACTTAAATGAATTCTTTTGCCCCCATTGGGGTTGTGAAACTATCTCCACTATAACAGGATATACTGCAAACAGAGACTCTTTCATTTTCTCACCTGAGACCCTCCCGTAAACCCCTGGCTAACATTCCTGCTCACTGGATTAGCAGGACCCTTGGTGCTAATGGTCCTAGGGTTAACATTTGGACCATGCCTTTTAAACATGTTCCTCAAATTTATCCAGGAAGAAATAGATTCGGTCAAATTGATGGTTATGAGATCCAAATATGGGCCCTTGTGTCAAAAAGAGGAAACCTATTAAAGATTTAATACATGTTAAAAGAACAGGGGGGAATGTGATATTGTGCTGGCCTAGAGCCAGAACCTGAGCAACACTATTTTATAAAATGCAAAACTGTTTTTTAAATAAGTTGAAGTGGCTGCCCCATTCTCCTCACAATAACTACTGTCCTTGGCCTCTGTAAATAGAACTGCTAGTTTGTTCTTCAAAACTATGTAAAGCTGCTTACCTTTTCTTATCAGTAACTGCTAAAATCTGTGACTTCTATCACCACCCAGACGATGTGTAAACAAATGTATATCTTGACTTCTGTAAACCACTGAGGTAACAAACAGAATGACAAAAGTCCCCTAGCCCTTGGAATGTCCGGAGACCCCCGCCCTTGTCTCCACCCAGGAGGTGAATCACAGAATCCCCTAGCCCTTGAAATGTCCGAAACCTTATCATCCCCATCCCCGCCCCTCACCCCCACTCCCAAGGTGGTTTTTCGGGTATAAAAAATCGTGGCACCCTCCTTTTGGCACCACAGATTGGAGAGACGTGAGTCCTCTGTGGTCGCTGGCATAATAAATGACCCTGCAATCTGGCAAAAAAAAAAAAAATACAAAAATTAGCCAGGTGTGGTGGCCCATGCCTATAATCCCAGCTACTCAGGAGGCTGAGGCAGGAGAATCACTTGAACCCAGGAGTCGGAGGTTGCAGCGAGCCAAGATCGCACCACTGTGCTCCAGCCTCTGCGACAGATCGAGACTCCAACTCAGAAAACAAACAAACAAACAAACAAAAACTCATGTTGAAATGTAATCTTTGGGCAAAGTGCTCACACCTGTAATTCCAGCACTTTAGGAAGTTGAGGTGAGTGAATCATCTTAGGTCAGGAGTTCGAGACCAACCTGACCAACATGGTGAAATCCCTGTCTCTACTAAAAATACAAAAATTAGCTGGGTGTGGTGGCAGGCGCCTATATCAGCTACTCAGGAGTCTGAGGCAGGAGAATTGCTTGAACCCAGGAGCTGGAGGTTGCAGTGAGCTGAGGTCATGCCATTGCACTCCAGCCTGGGTGACAAGAGTGAAACTTTGTATCAAAAAAAAAAAAAAAAAGGAATTTAATTTTCAATGTGGCAATATTGAGAGATGGCGCCTTTAAGAGGTTTGGGCCCATGAAAATTCTGCCCTCATGAATGGATTAATACATTCATATATTGATAAACCAATGAGTTAATGGATTAATGGATTATCATGGGATGCAACTGGTGGCTTTATAAGAAGGGGATGGGGGGCTGGGCACCTTGGCTCATGCCTGTAATCCCAGCTACTCAGGAGGCTGAGGCAGGAGAATCACTTGAACCTGGGAGGCAGACGTTGCAGTGAGCCAAGATTGTGCTACTGAGAGGGAGACTCCGTCTCAAAAAACAAAAAAAGAGGAGGGTAACCTGAGCTTGCATTCGAAGCCCCCTTGTCAAGTCATGTTTGCACTGCCTATGCACTCTTGTTAGAGAGTTCCCACCAGCAGGAAGGCTCTCACCTGATGCAGCCCTTTGACTTTGGGCTTCTCAGCCTCTATAAGAAACAAATTGCTTTACTTTATAAAATACCCAATTTCAGGTCTTCTGTTAGAAGCGACAGAAAATGGACAACCTCCCTCTTGCAGATAAAATGTCTATCTCCTGCTTTTGAGTATGTGTCTTTAAACTAAATATTTAATTTCCTTTTTTTTTTTGAAACAGGGTCTCGCTGTAACCACCACCTCCAGGGTTCAAGTGATTCTCACACCTCAGCCTCCTGAGTAGCTGGGATTACAGGTTCCCACCACCATGCCCGACTAATTTCTGTATTTTTAGTAGATAGGGGGTTTCATCATGTTGGCCAGGTTGGTCTAAACTCCTGACCTCAAGTGATCTGCCCTGCTTGGCCTCCCAAAGTGCTGGGATTACAAGCATGAGCCACCACACCCAGCAATTTATACATTTTCTAGATGCCTGTTATGACTTCATTTCCTGTTGCTGAGCCTTGCTTTGTTATCTTAATAAAGCATAAATAATACCTGCAGTGGAACTGGGTTTACTCATGCGACTGAATAACCACACCCTCCTAATTAGAGATTTACTAGCTATTCAGAGAGTAGTACAGTCAGTATCAAAATATTGTGCCACAGGCATATATATAAGCACTTTTAAAAAATAAATCTGAAAAAAATAGCCAAGAAATTTACCAATCACGATGTCTACTCTTCATCTCTATGAGATTAATACGCCTAATATTTATAAGAAATTCCTCATAGTTACAAAAGCAATATTTTTTGTTTTCACCAGTTCATAAAAGTCTTCCTCCTCCCCCTTCACCCAACTGATTACCTTCAAATGTTCAAATTATGCAAGGAAAATTTAGAATGAGGGGATTCTCAGGGGAAAAATTTATTGTTTTTCAGAAAACAACCAAGAGCTTTTAAGAGATATCTGCAACAACAGGGGTGGTTACATAAACTATCATGAATATACCCAGTGGAATACTACATAGTTTTGTTTTATATTTTTTCTAGAATACTATAGTGTTTTTAAAAATAATGACAGAGGCCAGATGCAGTGGCTCATGCTTGTAATCCCAGCACTTTAGGAGGCCGAGGCAGGTGGATCACCTGAGGTCAGGAGTTCAAGACCAGCCTGGCCAACATGGCAAAACCCTGTCTCTACTAAAAATACAAACACTAGCCAGGCATGGTGGCACACACCTGTAATCTCAGCTACTTGGGAGGCTGAAGCCAGAGAATTGCTTGAACCCAAAAGACGGAGGTTGCAGTAAGCCAAGATTGTGCCACTCCAGCCTGGGCAAAAGGGCCAGACTCTGTCTCAAAAAAAAGACATAAATCTATCTTTATTGATGTGAAAATATATTTATGATATATAAATTGATAAAAGGAGCTTCTAAAAACGTGTTTTGTTTAAAATAAGAAAAAGGCCAGGTACAGTGGCTCACCCCTGTAATCTCAGCACTTTGGGAGGCTGAGGCAGGTGAATCACAAGGTCAGGAGTTCAAAACCAGCCTGGCCAATATGCTGAAACCCATCTCTACTAAAAACACAAAAATTAGCCAGGTGTGGTGGCGGGCACCTGTAATTCCAGCTACTCCGGAGGCTGAGGCAGGAGAATGGCTTGAACCCAGGAGGGGGAGGTTGCAGTGAGCCGAGATTGTGCCACTATGCTCCAGCCTTGCCGAGAGAGCAAGACTCCATCTCAAAATAAACAAATAAATATATAAAATAAAATAATAATAATAATAAAAGATAGTGTCTTGCTGTTGAGCTCAAAATAACTTTAATTTTCTTCATTTAAAAAAATTTTTACTTTTTTAACAATTAGCATTTATTTTCATAGACAAAACAAAAAATATATTCCTATTTTTAAAAAGGCATAAAGCGGAGTGCGGTGGCTCACGCCTGTAATCCTAGCTCTTTTGGAGGCTGAGGCGGGCAGATCACCTGAGGTCAGGAGTTCGAGACCTGCCTCACCAATATGGTGAAACTCTGTCTTAAAAAAAAAAGAAAAGAAAAAAATAAAAAAAGTATAAATAGGAGTTGTTTGATGATGAGAAAACAATCTCTCTCTGTCTTTCTCTCCCTCCTTCCCTTTCCACCTTTCAATTATTCTTGCCTCTGGCTTGCTACTACATATAGGTTCTAATCTCAAGGTGGGAAAGATGGCTGCCCCACACTTCAGACTCCAAAAGTATACCCACGATTAACTCCAGCAGATAGGGATGATCTTTTTTATTAGCTCCAACAGAAAAGTCACAGGGCAGACTGTCTTGTTCTGCATCAGGAACTAGCAATGTGGTAGGAATCGAGTCGGAGTAGGTAGGGAATGTAATTTTCTGTTGGGACAAGTCTTGGTCACAAGATATCTCCTAAAGTCAGGGAGGAGAGGGAGTGAGTCCACACTGAGTTCATTCCCAGTAGGAGAGACTAGTTTTATCATCTTGAAGGAAAGAGGGAGGGTTGCTGAAAAGACTGAAATAACAGATATATATTATAATATTTATTCTAGACTCTCATATTAATAATAAGCTTTAAAAGGAATTCCACACTGGGTTTTTCAGTGTTTGGGAACTGGAAGGCACCATTCAATGTCAAAAACCACAATACATATTCATTCAATAAATATTCATCAAGTATCTACTATGTGCCCAGTAGCCTATATATTTCTGGGATGGAAAGTAAACAAACAGAAAACAATCAAAATATCCCTAACCTCATGGATCATACATGTTTAGACATCAGCAACAACTCTGAAAAATGAGTCTGAAATTGTCCTCTGGCTGGAAATTTTATTGCCGTGGTTGAGATGAAAGAAAATGCACTTTGGCTTTCATATAATTATTTTTTCACTTGTCTATGAACACCATAGTAAAATCCTATTCTGGAAAGAAACTAAACTGAGATGAGTCATGAGATTTACAGGCAAGTGAGAGGAGTACTGGCTTTTGTGCCTTGATATTAATGGGAAATTGCATTATCTAGACACACCCCAAGGTATTCTGCAGCATCCTTGAGCTTTAAACTTTGTTACTTAACCTGCCCTTACAGTGACACTAGGCAAACCAATCTTGGGTTGTGTATTTAATTTCAAGCAAAAATTCTTTTTATAGTTGACTCAGCAATGAACACACTTATTTTTGCAGGCCAGTAGGTTAAGTACATGGATCAGAACAAGATACTCATTTTGTTTCTTGTTAATGTTTATTCTTGGCATAGCAAACACCTAACACTGAATTCAAAAAGCTTTGGGAAGAGAATCTAAAGCAAGTTTTAGCTAATGCATTTTTGTGCTCTTTAAAAAACTCTGTTAAGAACAGAGAGATCCAAGACGGCTGATCACTAGCAGCTCGGGATTGTAGCTCCCAGTGAAAGCGCAGAGAACGAGAGGACGCCACACTTTCAGACGAATTTTTGTTGCTCATGCACCAGGAGATTCCCAGCAGAGGAGCCCCACGGGTCTCCAGCACGACTCTTGTGGCCAGCGAGGCGGTTTTGCCGGCGCCTTGGTGCGGCGGTTCTTGGTGCAGAGTCAGAAAAGCACCATCACTCTTAACGCTGCTGTTTCAGCTGGCGCAGTGGGTTGCTCAGATTCCGGCACGGGGAATCAACAAGTTGGACGTCCACTCAGAAACCCAATTAGAAAGTCGGTAATTACAAAGACGACAGATGGATAAATTTATAACGAAGGGAAGAAACCAGCCTAAAAAGGCTGAGAATACCCAAAATGAGAACACCTCTCCCTCTACAGGGGATCACAGTTCCTCATCAGCAATGGAACAAGGCCTGATGAACGAGTGTGTTCCATTAACAGAAGTAGGCTTCAAAAGGTGGATGATAAGAAACTTCTGTGAGTTAAAAGAACTTGTTCTAACCCAATGCAAAGAAACTAAGAACTTTGAAAAAAGGTTTGACGAAATGCTAACGTGAATGGACAATTTAGAGAGGAATGTAAATGAATTAATGGAGCTGAAAAACACAACACAAGAACTTCTCGAGGTATGCACAAGTTTTAACAGCCGAATTGATCAAGCAGAAGAAAGGATATCAGAGGTCAAAGACCAACTTCATGAAATAATACAAGAAGACAAGATTAGAGAAAAAAGGATAAAAAGGAACGAGCAAAGTCTCCAAGAAATATGGGACTATGTGAAAAGACCTAATCTACGTTTGATAGGTGTACCTGAACGTGACAAAGAGAATGAATCCAAGCTGGAAAATACGCTTCAGGATATTATTCAGGAAAACTTTCCCAACCTAGCAAGGCAGGACAATATTCAACTCCAGGTAATACAGAGAACACCACAAAGATAAGAACATAAGAACATAGCAGTTCTAATTCCCTACCATAGTGATTCTCAATGTCAGCAACACATAAGAATCACTTTTTTCATTTTATTTTATTTTTTTGAAATGGAGTCTCTCTCTGTCGCCCAATCTAGAGTGCAGTGGCGGGATCTCAGCTCACTGCAACCTCCACCACCCAGGTGCAAGCAATTCTCCTGTCTCAGCTTCCAGAGTAGCTGGGACTACAGGTGCACCTCACCACACCCAGCGAATTTTTTATTTTTAGTAGAGACCACGTTTCATCATATTGGTCAGGCTGGTCTTGAACTCCTGACCTCAGGTGATCCACCCACCTTAGCCTCCCAAAGTGCTGGGATTACAGGCGTGAGCCACCGTGCTCAGCCTTCAGTAGTTTTTAAAAGGTGATTCTTGGGCTGGGCACTGTGGCTCATGCCTGTAATCCCAGCATTTTGGGAGGCTGAGGTGGGCAGCTCACAAGGTCAAGAGTTCAAGATCATCCTGGCCAATGTGGTGAAGCCCTATCTCTACTAAAAATATAAAAATTAACCGGTGTGGTGGTGTGCACATGCAGTCCCAGCTACTTGGGAGGCTGAGGCAAGAGAATCGATTGAGCTCAGGAGGCAGAGGTTGCAGTGATCCGAGATCGTGCCACTGTACTGCAGTCTGGTGACAGAGCGAGACTGTCTCAAAAAACAAACATCAACAACAAAAACCTACTGGAATGGGGATGAGGCCGGACGCAGTGGCTTATGTTTGTAATCCCAACATTTTGGGAGGGAGAGCAGGTGGATTACCTAAGGTTAGGCGTTCGAGACCAGTCTGGCCAACATGGTGAAACACCAACTCTACAAAAAATACAAAAAATTAGCGGGACGTGGTGGCCCACGCCTGTGATCCCAGTTACTCGGGAGAATAAGGCAGGAGAAATACTTGAACCTGGGAGATGGAGGCTGCAGTGAGCTGAGATCATGCCACTGCACTCCAGCTGGGGCAACAGAGCAATACTCCGTCTCCAAACAAACAAACAAATAAATAAATAAACAAACTACTGGAATGAGGTTGGAGGGTGGGGATTAGACATTGATATCCTTCAAAAAGATCAGTGTAGTGTAGGTGATTTTAATATGCAGCTAGGGTTGAGAACTGCCTAAAGAATAAGACAGCCCCAATAGAGGAGAGAAAATGGTGGACATTTTGAGTCTAGACACACCTTGGTTTCTTTTTTTTTTTTTTTGAGACAGAGTTTCGCTCATGTCACCCAGGCTGGAGTGCAATGGCGCGATCTCGGCTCACCGCAACCTCCGCCTCCTGGGTTCAGGCAATTCTCCTGCCTCAGCCTCCTGAGTAGCTGGGATTACAGGCACGCGCCACCATGCCCAGCTAATTTTTTGTATTTTTAGTAGAGACGGGGTTTCACCATGTTGATCAGGATGGTCTCGATCTCTTGACCTCGTGATCCACCCGCCTCAGCCTCCCAAAGTGCTGGGATTACAGGCTTGAGCCACCGCGCCCAGCCTGGTTTCTTTCAAGAATAGGCTCTTACTATGGTGTTCACAGATAAGTGGGAAAATAAGCATATGAAGAACAAAGTGCGTTTTCTTTTATCTCTGCTACAATAAAATTTCTAGCCAGAGGACAATTCCAGACTCACCTTTTGAGTTGTTGCTGATATCTGAACAGGTAAGATCCATGAGGATAGGGATATTTTGCTTGTTTTGTTTGTTTGTTTGTATTTTTTTTTTTCCTGAGACAGAGTCTTGCCCTGTTGCCCAGGCTGGAGTGCAGTGGCACAGTCTTGGCTCACTGCAACCTCCACCTCCCCAGTTCAAGTGATTCTCATGGCTCAGCCTCCCTAGTAGCTGGGACTACAGGTACATACCACCACCCCTGGCTGACTTTTGTATTTTTAGAAAAGACAGGGTTTCACCATGTTGGCCAGGCTGATCTCGAACTCCTGGCCTCAAATGATCCACCTGCCTCAGTCTCCCAAAGTGCTGGGATTACAGGTGTGAGCCCCTGAGCCCAGCCTGCTTTTTTACTACTGTCCACCCCAGATTATACTTGGGATAATCATTCCATTGCTGGCCTGATTGTTGTCAGTAGATCACTTTAACTCTTATCTTGTATATACATTTATCTTATTATTTATTTGAGACAGAGTCTCGCTCCATCACACAGGCTGTAGTGCAGTGGCGGGATCTCAGCTCACTGCAACCTTTGCCTCCTGGGATCAATTCTCCTGCCTCAACCTCCTGAGTAGCTGGGATTACAGGTGCTCACCACTCTACCCAGATAATTTTTGTATTGTTAGTAGATAACGGGGTTTTACCATATTGGCCAGGCTGCTCTCAAACTCTTGACCTCAAGTGAACTGCCACCTCAGCATCCCAAACTGCTGAGATTATGGGCATGAGCCACGGTGCCCAGCCTACTTTTAAAAAAACGGTAAATAATTCTATATCCATTCATCCATCCATCTTCTTTCCTTTCATTCTTTTTCTTTCTCCCTCTTTTCTTTCTCATCCATTCATTCAATCACTCATTCATTAAACAAGCATTTAATGAGGGCAAGTACTATGCTAATAATAAGGATGTAGACAGGCCAGGCGCGGTGGCTCACGCCTGTAATCCCAGCACTTTGGGAGGCTGAGGCGGGTGGATCACGAGCTCAAGAGATCGAGACCATCCTGGTCAACATGGTGAAACCCCGTCTCTACTAAAAATACAAAAAATCAGCTGGGCATGGTGGCGCATGCCTGTAATCCCAGCTACTCAGGAGGCTGAGGCAGGAGAATTGCCTGAACCCAGGAGGCGGAGGTTGCAGTGAGCCGAGATCGCGCCATTGCACTCCAGCCTGGGTAACATGAGTGAAACTCCGTCTCAAAAAAAAAAGGATGTAGACATAGAATTCATACTTTCATTCAAGTGTTACAGCACTAATAAGATAGCCATATAGATAGTCATCCTGAGATTCTCAAGTTCCATTAAAAAAAAGACAGCTGCAAAAATATACACCAATTTTCTCACTCTTCGTGAAAAACTATTTTGAAGTTTGAGTTCTATTAGGCAAACATCAACATTCCTGACCTATTATGCTGTTAATGAGTCACATAGTAAGTGATTCATCTGTCATAGTAATTTTCAATCTCTCATATGTTGAATGCAAGAATGTAAACACCTATACTTCATTAAGTCTCACATAAGAAGGGGTTCAAAGACACTGCCAATTTTAATTAGGAATTATCCAAATTTAAGATTCTTCAGACATCTTTGAGTATTTTGTCAAGTTCTGTTACTTCCAGCCAGGCGCGGTGGCTCATGCCTGTAATCTCAGCACTTTGGGAGGCTGAGGTGGGTGGATCGCAAGGTCAGGAGTTTGAGACCAGCCTGGCCAACATGACGAAACCCCGGCTGTACTAAAAAAATACAAAAATTAGCCAGGCATGGTGGCACGTGCCTGTAATCCCAGCTACTCAGGAGGCTGAGGCAGGAGAATTGCTTGAACCCGGGAGGCAGAGGTTGCAGTGAGCCGAGATCGTGCCATTGTACACCAGCCTACATACAGCAAGACACCATCTCAAAAAAAAAAGTTACGTTACTACTGATATACTAAATCTTGACCAAAGAGGCTAGCAGTATAGTTTGATCTTTAGCTACTATAAAATTCCCAAATCAGGTTACTTTGTACGTAAGGACAGAACAGAATATTGCTTGAAAGTAAGCAGACACTTTCCTTTTTTTTGTTTTTGAGACAAGTCTCGCTCTGTCGCCCAGGCTGGAGTGTAGTGGCACGATCTTGGCTCACTACAACCTCCGCCTCCCGGGTGCAAGTGATTCTCCTGTTTCAGCCTCCTGAGTAGCTGGGACTACAGGCCCAAGACACAAAGCCTGGCTAATTTTTTGCACTTTTAGTAGTGACAGGGTTTCATTGTGCTCGCCAGGATGGTCTTGATATCCTGACCTGGTGATCCGCCCACCTCGTGTCTCCCTAAGTGTTGGGATCACAGGTGCGAGCCACCACATCCGGCCATTTTTTTTTTTTTTTTTTTTTGGAACGAGACTGGGTCTCGCTGTGTTACTCAGGCAATGGAGTGCAGTGGCGC